TCCTGGAGTCTTTGTTGCTGTTGTTCCCTCTCCTGGAATGCCCCCCGCCCCACCCCCCACTCTCGGCATGGCTAGCTGTCCGTCTTTCCAGCTTCAGCTAAAGTGTCATACTCACACACCACACACCCATATTCAGTGTCACTTCCACCCACCCAAGTCTGTTGGTTTACTCAAAGTACTTCTCAAGACCCAAGATGACTTTGTTCATCTCCTTGTCTCCTTGTCCATGGTCCATCTCCCCCACTAGAGTGTATGCTGTGCAGGAACAGTGAACCCGTCTGGTGTCCCCAGCACCTGGCCCAGTCCGGGCACAAGGGGTAATGTAATAGGCAGTTACTGCAGCGCAGAAGCCCCTCTCTTTTCCTCTATGGAGAGTTCTCCTGCACGGACACCAGATGGCACTAGCGCCCCTGAGATGGAAGCCGAGGCTCGGGCGGGGGAATGAGCTGCCACCGGGAGCTGCGCCGCAGCTGGGGTGGGGAAGAGGTTGAGGCCGAGGTGGATTTTGGTTCCCCACTGCCAGGCTCACCCCACAGAGACCAGCCCCCGGGTCAAACCCATCACAGGCAGCACCTTCCCTGGGGAGAGGGGGTCGGCGCACTCAATCACTCCCTGTTCCTCCTCCCCTCTGCTTGGGAACATTTTCTCACTGGTCAAAGCTGGAAGAAATGCCTTGAGGCAGTGTTGAAGGGGAAAGACACCCTAGATGCCTAGTTTCAGAGGAGGAGTGTAAAGGGAGACAGGCTGGGCTGAGGGCAGTGGAAGTGCGAACTGAGGGTGCCTCCTGAGACATCTTGTGGAGCAGAGCTAAGTTTCTGTCCCCTGCTCGGTTAACCACCCAGTGTCAGTGCAACCCTGACCCTCCCTTCTCATGCAGTTCTTCTATTGCCCAAGTACCCTGCCATTGATTCCTAAAACAAAAACCCGTGCATAACAAGCACCTTGGAGTTTACAAACATGTCAGCATCTACCGCTGTCTCATTCCATCCACTCAGCAACTCTGACATCGAGTAGGTTTCACTATTCCATTTATTACAGACAAGGAAACTGCAGACAGGTGTAGTGACTTGCCCAAGTCAGCTAGGGAGTGGGAGACGTGGAACTCATCCAGATGTAAAGCTCAAGCTGTTCCCACAACCGCTGCTGGCATCCCCCATCCCACCTGGAGACCCAGCTCCTGCCTCAGCCCCGTCCAGGTGAAATGAGATAGGAATGTGCCCCAATGCCTGTTCCCTTCTTTTCTCCTATTGCTCCTTCCCTTCTGCTCTGCTCCTCTGCAGCTCCCTCACGCTTTCTTCTCCATATCTGTTGCTTCTCAGTTCCTCACCTGTCCCTCCTCTCTGCCCCCCTCCACCCCCCATCTTTACCAGCTTCTGGGCTCGAGTCCTTGACCCCATCTGTGTCTCCCCCGTTCCACCTCCCTGCTAGGCAGGAGTGAGTGTTGCAGACAGTTCAGGAGCACACAATATGCCCCCAGGCACCACACTAAATGCTTAACATGGTGTATCTGATTGAATCCTCACAGCTACTCTGTGAAGTTGTTATTATTATCTACCCATTCTACAGATGAGGAAATTGACGCTCAGAGAATTAGGCTGATCTGCCAAGGTCTCCAAGATCAGTGCTTCTCAAACTCTAATGTGCACACAAATCACCTGGGAATCTCTTTAAAGTGCAGGTTCTGATTTTGTAGATGGGGGGAGGAAGCGTGGGTTTTGGCCAGGGCTTGGATTCTGTGTTTCTCACAACCTGTTGGTCTGTGAACCACACTTTGAGTAGGAAGGTGCTAGATGAAGGGGCACGAGTCCAGCAAGACAGCCTGACTCCAGACCAGTGCTCTTACAACATGTCACTGGAAGTAGTGGAACACAGAAGTGGGTTGGGTGCAAGACTCCTGGGTCCATGGTGGTGTGGGACAGGCAGATAGCGGGAAGGTATAAGTATTTGCAAAAATCTCAAAGTACTCAATATTTGGGGCCAAGAAGATGCTGGAATCAGCTCTTGCTGACATAGCCAGTTTTGAGTGTATGCTCTAGTTGAGAGGCTAGACAAGACATGGCTGCCTGGGGGACCTGGGTTATGAGCTGCTCACTCGTGTCCCCTCAGCATTCAGAACCAAGGTGGCGGAGCCCTGCCTGTCAGGCAACATCGTGGTCTCTGCAAAGCTCAGCTTCACCCCTGGAACCGTGAACTCCCTTCTGAGGCAGGAAGTCCTGTTTCCCTCTTGGCATCCCCAGAGCCCAGCGAGATTTGCAGGAGGTGTGACGTGGTGGGAAAAAAGTAAACACTATTAAAGAAACCCACATTGTACCAGGTCCTGTGATAGGTACTTTTGATCTATTCTCTCCTTTGAGCCTCCAAGACAACCACATGAAATAAGTATTGTTGCTCCTGTTTAATGATGAGGTAACTGAAGCTCAGAGAAGGAAAGTGACTTGGCTAAGGGCACACAGCAAGTAAAAGACAGCTGAGATTCAAAGAGAACTGAACCCAATGTCAAAGCACAGTGGGTGCTTATAAAACATCTGATGGGTGTTGAGTGAATGAAGACTCTTGGAGGCTCCTGACCCTGACTAGGACTGGGGCAGCTTCCCTGCCTGCTACCTCCAACATACACACAGAGACACATGCTACATGACACTGAGCCCAGCACCAAGCAGGACAGAGTCAATGCCTGTCACACATGCCTTTGAGGTGGTTGTGCAGAGTGGGGCTGAAAAAGGGAGGTGGGTGGATTAGTCCAGGCCTAAGGAATACTCTGCAGGGAATGGACAGGCCAGACTGGCAGGACCCAGTCACCTGCACAGCCCTGGTCAGGCCCTACTGCTGGGGAGAGCACAGCGTTGCCCAGGAGACGGTCCCTGGGCCAGGCAGGCAGCGGCGGGTGGAGCCGCCAGCTCCTAAGTGGCAGAACTCTGGTGGCAGCACAGTCCACAGCGTCTTCCATGGAGACGGCACGACTGCTCAGCCACAAGGTCCCACTGCCTGTCCACTGGTCCCTCCCTACGGACCTGCTGACCTGCCGAGAGGGGGGTTGTGTATAGGAGTTGAGAGTCTAGGACCCAATCACAGAAAAGGGAAGGTCCCAGGCCAAGGAGTGCCTGATGGCAGAGGGGCTATCTCCAGATCACCTACCACCAGCCCTCAGCCACAGGACATGCAGACCCACAGATCCCCTCCACCACCTTCCTTCTGGCCAGCCCAGGTCTCCATAGACTGTTTCCTGATCTCAGTCTGTCTCCCAAGTCCTTCTCCACCTCCTGGGCTATCTGTCCTGGGCATCTGATGGATTATCCATCTGGACTGTTTCTCTCTCCCTTGCCCTCTGCCACCCCGTCCATGCCACTGGTCTCTGTCTTTTTCCCCCATTGGCCTGGATGCCCTCAGCCTCTCTGTTCCTGCCTCTACATCTCCATCCCATTTCCTTTCCTCTCTGTCCATCCTTTAGTCTGGGCATCCAGTCTCTGTCTCTTGTCTTCCTCCTAGACTTTTCCCTGGGCCTGAGGTTCTCCCCCCATCATCAAGCCAGGAACCTCTCCTCAGGTGCCCTCCCCCTCTTGTCCCTATCTGCTCTCTGGGTCTGCCTGAGATGGTGATCAGGGAGAGATCTGTCCAGAGCTTGCTCCTCTGAGCGATGGCTTCTCTCAGCCATCTGAGTTCCATCTATCCACAGCTCCCATTTTTCCAGAAAGCTCTCCCTGGCTGGCTGGTTTGCATTCTCCCCCAGCCCTCCCCACCCCCTCATCCTCCCTGCAGTCCCACAGCCCACAGGGTTAACAGGCAATTAGCAGGACCAGGGCTCAGAGCTGGGGGGGGGAGAGAGCCCTAGGCCTCCAGGAGATAAGAAGCAGCCTGAGCCACCGAGGCCAGGCTAATCCCGGAGCTAATCTGCAGTCTGGGCTTTATCTCCACGGCCTTCTGGGCACCCTGCCTCTGCCAAGGCCCTGGCATCCCCCCCCCACAAAAAAAACTTTTCCATGGTAGCCTCTTCCCCCCAAATTCCATCAGCCCTCCCCCATGAGGTCTACCTCTATGCCTCACACTTAGCCCCCACAATGGACTCCCCTTAACTTTGCAGTGCCCTGGGGCCCAGAGTGGGCCAGTGGAAGGGAGCACATCTTGTTCTGCTCTGTACTGTGACTAGCACCCCAGGGTCAGACAGCTCCTAAGCCCTGGCTTTGCTCACGGGTGGCCCAGTAACCAGGTTCAAAGCCTCCTCCTTCTCAGGGGAAAAGGAAGGAAAATGGCACCAATCCAAAATGTCCAGGGTGTCTGTGCTGTTCAGAACTTCCAGGTCACTCAGTCCAACCCCTCATTGTACAAAGGCAGAAACAGAAGCCTAGAGATGGCAAGGTACATATCCAAGGGCACATAGAAAAAAGGGGCAAATTCAGAACTGGAACCCAGAGTTCTCCACTAACCTTGGT